TGGCAGTAGGTGGTCTCGCAGGTACCCTGGGCCTAAGCCATGGAGCGCTTTAAAGGTCATAATTAGTACCTTGAATAACCACATTTGGGACTGGCAACTCTGCCACCAGAGAGAAATTACGTGAGCACGAATGTGCTTGCTGGCTGGGGAATTCTGGGAGCTGAAGCCCCCGATCTGAAAGGTGCCACGGTTGAGAAGCAGGCAGCAGCTCCGTGGCCCATCGCAGAAGATGCCTTCGACACTCGGCTGAAGGCAAAGAGGCCTGAAAAACTACCGATCGATTCAAGAGGCAGGAATGAACAGAAGCCCTGAAGCCAACAATCTCCGATTGAGCCCTCCTTAAACCGAGGCTCACCTTCAGTGAACATGCGGTGGGAGAAGATCTGGGGATTTCTGGTGGATCCAATTGATCTTCCTCATGCTGGCTTCCGATTCCTCGTCAACCTTGTCGATCCTTTCCCTTCAAGGCATCGCCTTCCTTCAAAAGAAGAGTGTAGATTGTATTTCAAGTGTTAAAGAGGAGCAGGGAAGATGCTCCTCAAAGTCTCGTCCTGCTTCATAGCCTAACCCTTCCTAGCTACTGGTACAGGATTACTAAACACACCAGACTTACAACAGTTCAGGCACCTGGCTAAAAAGTGGGAGGGGTGAATTCTAGTCCTGCCTTAGCCATGAAATCGAGCTGGGAGAGTTCGGGCCAGTCTCCCCTCCTCAGCCCAACCCACCTCACAGGGTTGTTGTCGTGGAGAAGACAGGAGGAGGAAGGTATGTTGGATACACTGGCAGCCCTGAGTTATTATTATTATTATCCTTTTTTGCTTTTTTATAATGCCTAGCCCAGAGGGTCCAACTGCGGCAACTTTTAAGACTTGTGGACTTCAACTCCCAGAATTCCCCACTCAGCTCACAAGTCACCAAGGTTGGGCACTCCTGGATTAGCATCAACCTAGGTTCTGGGGTTTATGAACCCACAAATAAACAAACAAATCAACAGTATATGCACATACAGTTTAGAGCAGGAATCCCCAAACTTGGCAACTTTAAGACTTGCGGACTTCAATTCCCAGAATTCTCCAGCCAGCAGAGCTGGCAGAGCAGAGCTAGCTGGAGAATTCTGGGAGTTGAAGTCCACAAGTCTTAAAGTTGCCAACTTTGAAGACTTCTGGTTTAGAGTCTCTTTTTGGCCCTTTTGACTATCCTCTCCCCCGTTTATTATTGTTAAATTAGATTAATATGCCTCCCGTCGCACCCTCCACCAACCCTCCTGCCTGGGATTGGCAGAGAAATCTTTCTGCCTTCTATTACATTGGCTGAGTTATTTGTAGGAGGAGTTTCCTTTTATCGTTCCTCGCCCTGTAGACTTGCAAAACTAAAGCAAGCATTTGGGTCATGTGACACACCATGTTTTTTCCCCTTTGCAGAGCTGGGTGGATGTTGCCCGCCCATGACGCATCCGTTTGACACCCCTGCTCTAGGTCGGGGGTCTGGGGAATTCTGGAAGTTGGAGACCCTCCTGCCCTGAATGCACTCTGGGAATCACTAGGGAAGAGCCATCTTAACCCTCTTCCTGCCCACCAGGCATTCTAAGCTCCGCTGCCTCTTTGCCCTCTGGGGTGCAGTCCATCCCCCCCCCCCCCCCCCCAGGAACCCNGTAAAATATATAACGATGTCTCGAGGAAGCTGCTTCTGCTTTGCCAGCCATGCAGTTTTCAAGGGGCAGAGAGAAAGCCAACTCTGCCCATCAGGGCCATACAGGCTGGGACTCCCATCTTGTGTTTGTGATGAGTAGACAGTTGTGAGAGACTGCATCATTAATGTCAGAACACCCACATGGGCATGATCAATATAGGGAAACAATCACAGAATTACAAAAGCATATGGGATGAGGAAAAACAGAGAGAGGGGGAGAGAGAGGGAGAGAGACCAGTCCGTTTTCAGATGTTGGCAGCAATAGAGAGACACCGAGAGCTCCGGCATTAAAGGCAGACTGAATAATGGGATTAATTCAGTCTCCCCAAATACCGTCACTGAGGGCCATTTGTCAGCTTGTCCTTTCCTGTCATAAAGGACATAAACTTTATCTGATGGCATCAGATGCATTTCATTAGCATACTGAGAGGCAGATGAAAGGGAAGGAAGGAGGTTTCATAATAAGAAGAAGGAGTCCTCCATTTCTGTTGAGTTTAGGTCTCTCAGAAAGGACCCGAGGGAAGGAAAAATTAAATGGACACAGATTGCTCTCTAATAGTATATCTATTCAATGGCATACATTTAAATACTCTTAGTTGCGTTTAACTGGGGACACGCTCTGCTACACACAGAAAGACACTGTCCCAAAGGCTGTCCCACAACCTGGCGCTTCACAAAGTTGCCACATGAGGGGGAGGTGAGGTATGGAAAAGATTTAACAGGGGACAAGTGGGCATATTAACTGGAATATTAAAATATGTTTTTAACCGCAAGTAAGTGCACAGTCACACAGCTGGAATATTTAAAAACTTGCTGGGACACTAATGGAATTCTGCACAAGGGTACCTTGTATAGCAGCAACACCCTTGGTAAATGAATTGCAAGTTTTAATCCTGTTTAAGACGGACCAAAAAAAATCTTTCCACTGGTAAGAGAAAAATCTTCTGCACCTGGCTCAGGGATGTTCCCTAGGCAGCTGATGCTCATCCATTTCATTTTATTTTTTTTTTCATTTTATTTGACATTTATAGGCCGCCCTTTTCCCTGAGGGGACTCAGGGCGGCTTACAATTTGTAGGNTTCCACGCATGCGCAGGATGCATACAGTGCCTGCGCGATCGTCCAGGAGCAGCTGGAGCGTCGTGCAGACGCTAGTACGCATGCGTGCACCACGCGTGTGCACGAGGATGCTGCCGGCTGGAAACCGGTTGGAACGGGGCGAGAAACCCACCCCCGATGCGCACACATGCCCTTTGAGCACCAAAATGGTTAACCATCCCTGGTCTACACCTTCTGTACCTTATTAAAATTATGTGCAAGTTTCGGGTAACAAAAACCCAAGGAAGATCAGGAGGTTCATCTCATGACATTTCTCTTTCTTTTTTTAAGACCTTATTTTGCAATTTTTAATATGCTTTGCTTATTATGCCTTCCTCGGTTTCTGCATTTTGGAAAGTGTGGCTTCCTTCAAAAGAAAATGACACGATGGGTAAACAGGTCTGCTCTTTCAATGAAAATATGCTGGAAGCCAACTAAGAAAGAAAGAAAGAAAAATAATACCCAGTATGCATACCTACCTCTCAGCATATTTAAATTATACTGAAGGCTGAATCCCAATTTCAAGATTAATTTGTCCAGATGAATAGTTGGAGTAATTGTTAAACTTGAGACTGGGGCTCGGTGCCCAATGAGCTGAGCCGTGTGGAAATTAGTTTCTGAGGCATGCTTGTTTATCTGTTAGTTAGCATAAATCGGCATGAATAACTTCAGCAGCAGATAAAAAGACTTAGCACGACACCTGTTCAATTAAGAAGTCCATTATTGCATTAAAAAAAAAATCATTAGCTCTGAAAATAGGAAGAGCCCGACATTTTGAAGAATACCACAAATAACCATTTTTTGGGCACAGCATTCTCTCCTCTTTTTTTCACCACTAATTTCAACAATCAGTAAGGAGCATCTGAGTCCCAGGAGGAGAATGTGGTACATGAGAGGAATTTAAATGAGATCACCAAAGACAGAAAGTGGGGTGATGATGATAATGAAATAATAATTACTATATGGGGCCACACTTTTATTGATGCATCTAGTGACCACTATTGAGTACTTTCTGTGGTACTACCAGATTCCTCATGATTTTTGGCTGTTGCAGACTGGCATGGTTCTCTCTACAGTAACCCTACCCTTCTTCTCCTCCTCCTTCTTCTCCTCCTCCTCCTCTTCCTCCTCTAACTTCTCCTGCCCCAAAGTTTGGATCTCTGGGATGAAGGCCACATTACTTACATCTCCATTTTGTAAAGCTAATGTCAGCGTTCCAAGTATCATGCAGAATTAAATCAGAGTCCAAGGCAGAGCTATCCTTAAAGTTCCAATTTAATAAGACAGACATCGTTGGCTGTGGAATCCCAAATATAAAAGCTTCCTGGGATCAATGCTCCCTCTAAGATGCGCGGCTGCGTGGCTACGCACGTGGCAAGAAAACACCGCGCAGCAGTTACCAACTGCCGCGCAGTGATTTCTAAAGTCACAGGCTCCGGAAGCTGAGGTGCCTCAGATTTTCTGTCCTGGTTAAGGTTAGTATGGGCGCGGGGGGTGGGGATGGCGGCAGGAGCTTAAGCGGCATGGCCAGTCTCCTAGGATCAACCGCAGGAGGGGAAAAGGGCGCCGGAGCACTGGCAAAGGTGAGGTGGCGAGGAGGAACCTGACGGCAGCGCCATCGTGGGAGCCAGTAGGAAGGTAGTGGAGAGGGCGGG